GAATTTTAGTACTGTTTAGTGTGGGGCGGGACAAGGCACGATATCGCCATTCAGAGCTTTAGTTTATGTCATCAATGATCGAAGTACTTCACAGGAACTAGTAGTAGCTCGTTTTTCTTGCTCACAGTCAGTCCAGGAAATTCTTCCATATCGATATCTTCAACCACCATGCCTTCTGGTAACTTCCAATCAAAATGATACAACATATTTGCAAGACCAAACTCCACCATTGTGGTTCCCATGTACATTGCAGGACATATTCTTCGGCCACTCCCAAACGGTAACAACTCAAAGTTTTTTCCTTTTACATCGATGTCACTATCCATAAATCTTTCTGGAAGAAAAAGCTCTGGGTCTTTCCAAGTAGTGGGATCACGACCAATAGCCCATACATTCACATGAAGCTGTGTCTTGGGTTCTATCTTGTAGCCATTGATCTCAAATTCAGACATTACTTCTCTTTGCATAAGAAGAGGCGCTGGAGGATGTAGCCTCCATGTTTCTTTGATCACCATTTTCAAGTAATGGAGCTGATCTATGTCATCCAAGTTGATCATGGATTTGTTCCCCGTTTGGTTTCTAATTTCAGATTGAACTTTCTTCATAACTCTAGGGTTTCTAGCAAGTTCTGCCATTGCCCATGTCATTGTAATTGAAGAAGTGTCGATCCCTGCTAAAAGAATGTTCTATTTACATGAACATTAAAAAAATTATGTAAGAATCTCATATATCGACTAGATAAAGGATCCGCATATATGATGGTTTCTGATAAAATATTTTATAACTTGTGAAATAATCAAATTCGGAAAAGTAGAACACAAAACTAAATCACACATGATAATAAATCATTTTATCTTCATTTTTTAATACTTTGGTACTCTATTTTTAAAAAATCTTGTTGAATTAATTTCTCATGTTCCTATTTAAATTTTTTTAATTTTTATAACATGTGATAACAAAACACGAAAAGTACAAAACCACTAATAAAGAAGCCTCATCGTTATTAAGTTGTTTTGACTC